TCTCTCTCTCTCTCTCTCTCTCTCTCTCTCTCTCTCTCTCTCTCTCCCCTTCTCCCTCTCCCACCCCATCTAAAGAATCACTAAATTCAATTCAATCTCCAGACGACGGTCTGGCGTAGGTTTCCAGCCCACATTGGAAAACCAAAGGTGTTGAAGTCACACCTCTTGGGGTGCCAAAGAAGTTTTGAGCTTACTGTCGAAGGGCCCTAAAATCGATAAGAAAATTAAGGCCTTTGGCATGTTTAATGCCTCTTTTTTTTTTGTAAAGGCAAAGCACGCTCGCCCGCAAGACCCCGGTGTGACGCACCGCGGGAGACATTGGACCTTGTATAAATACTTCAGAAAAAATTTAACAGACGCGTTGTCTTAATCCCATTTATAAGTACGTTGCGGAAACCAGCGTCATAAATCCGTCGGCCGTGGGGCAGATAATAGATTGGCGAGCTGGTCGCAAATAATACCGTCCGCCCGCTCATCTCAAGGGTCGTGTTTCCATTACAGTACTTCGACGGCATCTGGATGGCCACCGACACCCACCGCCTCGGCGCCTACCTCGCGGCCCGCAACGAGACCGTGTACCTGTACCGCTTCGGCGTGCGGACGAGACTCAACCGACCCATCATCGACCCGCTGCCGGACGACGAGCGAAGTGGTTCGTACTCACATTTTTTACCTTCCTCTATTGAGATTGCAATTTTTCAAAAGTAATAATTGTGAGTGTCAGGAAAAAAGAACGGAGGGGTTTCAAATTAAAATTTTGTGATTGGCAGCCGCAATGCATGGCGACGACCTGAATTACCTGTGGCACGAACAGAAAAACAAGGGTAAAGAGCCAACCAGCTTAGAGTCACTCACAACGAAGAGAATGGTGGCCATGTGGGCTTCCTTCATAAAGAACGGGTAAGTTACACGGCACATTTAGTGCGCATTGTTCGATGGATGAGGTTCCCGCTGATAACACCGCTGATGTTCTTCTCGCAGGAAACCGGTCACGGCCACAAACGACTTGCTTCCCGTCGACTGGACACCAAACTCGGGCACGAATCTAGAAGTCACGTTCCTCGACATTGGGGAGAACTTGACGCTGCGCACAGAAGCCCTGGCGCCAGTAATGCTCCCCTTTTGGTATGCGCTGTACAAAGAGTACCGAACACCTTCAAATATCAAATAGCACTGAGTGAGAATGAATCCAGAAGCAAATAAAGAAACCTGGCTTCAGCAGAATCTCTGTTAGTGTAAAATGAAATGTGACGGGGAGAAGGTTCATCCACTGGCATAAATATTTAATTTTTCATGAGAAATGTTGTGAAAAGTAGTAAAATTACTTGGTTTGCTTGAATTTGCAATACCACTCGTACTTTGAAAAAAAATCATAGTGAAGATGGAACCGAGAACTGAGAATGGTGTCAGAATGATCTCCAAACGACAAATTGTTCAGGTTTAAATAAAGTTTTATATAATAAAACGTAGATTACATTATCGTCCTGATTCCAGCTCGAACCCATTACCTAAAGTGCGACAATCACTTAGTCGCAGACACGCTGCGTACCGACGCGAGTACTCCTTTTTCCTCACCCTTATCAAGCCTCCGTGTCCTCACCTCAGCACTTGACCTCAAGCCGACGAGCGCGCAGTGCGCAAAGATGCGTTCTCTCCTGCCCTGCCCCGTCCAGGTACGGAAAATCAATCGATCGACGTCGAAACGATACCAGACTATTGGTATCGGTAGGCAATGTGGTTGTGGTACTAACGATCGAACGATTCAACGAGTGAACTAACTGAGCTTAATCTTTCGTGCGTCACAAATACGTCAGATTGATTTTCTGCTATCTCACTCCGCACGAAATGAGATAACGATGAAATGAAATGCAGTAACGAAAACGCTACTCCAGAGTTTCGCAGACGGCGGGGCTGCGTTCTTCAATGGGCGGGCGAGCTCCGCAGCCACCGAGCCCGGCCCGGCCTGTCTAGAGGCCCTGGTGGCCCTCGTGCGAGAGGCAGCCAATCACAGACTCGTTTAATGTTAGGCTTGCAGGAGCTCGGGAATTAGTTAAATCGCCCGCTCAAAATAAAATCATTTGCTAACAACGATAACCGTTCGCGAAGCTCCCGCGCGCTTTCTGCTAGTCTCGCAAAGGGTGTCTCTGGCCCCATGGAACACCATAACCGCCAGAGGTCTGGGCACCTCTGGCCACTGCCGGTCTCTCTCTCTCTCTCTCTCTCTCTCTCTCTCTCTCTCTCTCTCTCTCTCTCTCTCCACGGCAGGGGGCTGATTAACCCCTCACTCTTCTGTAGTTTTAACTGCAACGCATTCCTACGTGATATTGCCTACTCGCTCGTACTCGCTCCGCCTGTAAGGCGCTGTGGACAAGTGCGATAGGCAAGCACATAGCCACACGCCTGCGTGCGGTACAGCATGAGCACAGAAGTGCGTGAGCTTAATTGCATATACCAGGCGGCTCACTCTATACCGGGTGTTGCATAAAAGACACAGGTGCGGGCGGGTTTGCCTACCCGCTCTGCCCGTAAGGCGCCATAGCCCCTTGGGTAGGCAAACCCGCCCGCACCTGTGTCTTTTATGCAACACCCGGTACGTATTCCCAATGAGAAATAGAAACGTAGATTCATCGTTGAATCGACGTCAAAATATCGAAAAGATGTGGATTTGGGGGACAAAATGACGTCTATTCGACTTTTTCGACATCGAATAAGCGATCAAGAAAAATTATTTCTCACTGCGATTAAGTGTTGGGTAGGGTGGAGCTTCTTCGACTGGCCGAGGCTCCGTTTAACGTCAGGCGTTTGCGGTATAACACCCTGTTCTCTTTCCGAGAAGGATTCAGAGACATCCAGAAAAATGGAATGCAATTTCTCTATACAGTGACGAATTGTGTGGGGGGGGGGGACTTCTATGCAATTTTGTACTGTAACAGAATAGGAGTGATGAATTTTCCACTGCAAAGGCATTGAAAATCGTTAGCACCCCCATAAAAAAGTGCTCCTTGCTAAACAGCTAATAAATTAAGTAACTCCCTTTGAAAAAAAGGGAGCGAGCAAAAATGTATTTCCTGCTAAATGAACCGGTTGAAACAAAAGCATTGGCGTACAGGGTGGGTGTTCCTCCACGCCGTCTATTTTCCTGTTTACACTGTACCGGAGTCAGGCGTTCAGGCGGGCTGGCCTATACCGTCGCTTGCCATCGCGCCTTGCCGCCCCGTGCGGGTATGCAACCCGTTAGCACGCATGAATGCGTTACAGCATGTTACAATATAAGCAGGAAAAAGACGCTGTTTACCAACTCTGTTGAATGACGACCGGAATATTTCCAAGAAATTCGTAAATTCAGGGGTCAACGCGGGTAAACTGACCTCCTGCCGCTAGGGACTGCAAAGCATTCCTGGTGGCTCGTCTCATGAGACTGATATAGATCTGCAAAGCCGCGAAGGGCCGCCGAGGGGCGGCCAGTGATGGGTATAAAAGAACATGGAGATAAAGCCCACCTCAGTCGGCAGTGTGCACCACAAAGGGCGAGACGCGCAGAACGGTGGCGCAATGGGGTCGCGAAGTGAGTAATGAAGAAAACAAACGTGTAACTGAAATAGCAAGTGTGTGAATGTCGCACACTTGCAGAGTGAATGCCCATTCCTACTTTTAAGGGAGTAAAGGCATGAATTTTCCTTTGAAATTCACACACTCGTGCCTCCATTTGCACGAATGGCGTTCGCTTACCTACAAGTGTGCGACATTCACACACTTCGGTTGCCCGTGTTCACATCATTAGAAAATAGACGCAGCAGTCTTTGAAAATCGCATTCATCTGTTCTTGCAGCGGTCATCGCAATCCTGGTTGCCACTTTCCTGGTCTCGACATGCTCCGCGTCTCCTTCTAAATCCGTGAGCCTTGTAGGAGCGGGAGAATTATGCGATTTGTACTACGCCATAAGTTTGACGGACGGCAGGTCAGCATGAGCAACAGCAAAGGCAATTGAAATGTAGAGCACAAACAGTGGCAGTTGTTTGTGCCCTATCGGCAACGTGTATTTAATACCTCACTATTCTTACCACACAGATGCAACGGGAATGAGAAAATTCCTGTGCCATGTGACGGCTGGTGCGCGGCATACATCCAGTGCAAAGATGGCGTCCCAGAGACCAAAGGGACAGACTGCACCTGGTTGAACAATTATTTTGACCCCAATAAAAAGAAGTGCACCTTCAATATGTGGAGAAACTGCGATTGGTACAAGAGCCTTACAATGCCTCCAACAACGGTAAGAAAATCCCGAATTAAATATTAGAGCTCGAAAAGTAGCACTGGCGTGAACTGGATACTTCCAGGGCGAACGCACTGAAAAGAATGTTTGGTCACCACGGCCGAAAAATTTGGTTGCTGTCAGTAAAATGGTGTTCCCTCTGCCCCCTTAGTCATAACCATATCGTTCTGGCTAAGCGTTCAGGCGCTCCAACCATACACTCCAGCATGCGAACCTTTAAATGCGCTCCAGCATTGCGGGTTCAACCGAACTCGCCTGTAAGGCACACTGCGCCCCGCGACCATAGCGCGTATGCAATCCCGCGCATTCAAAGTAACACCAAGAAAGGCACCATATTATGTCAAACTAGGAATCGACAGTAAATCGCACAAAAAAGGTGCAAAAGGGTGCGACGGCTTAGTTATAAAGCACAAGCAAAACTAAACGACTTATTCTGTTTCAGACAAGCACAACGGAAGCGGTAACTACTGCCAGCACAGAAGAACCAACGACTCCAACTACGGCAGCGCCGACCACAATTACGACAGAGGAGCCTACCACCGCAACCACTGAGGTACCAACCACTGCATCTACCCAAGAGCCGAGTACTGCCTCCACTGAAGAACCGACCTCTGCATCCACCGAAGAGCCGACGACTGTAGCCACAGAAGCACCTGCTACCCTCCCAACTGATGCACCGACCACAACTTCAACTGAGGAGCCTTCGACCGCACCTACTGAAGAGCCGACTACCGCTTCCACTGAAGAGCCGACTACCACACCCACTGAAGAGCCAACCTCTGCATCCACAGAGGCACCTGCAACCGAACCGACGGATGCACCGACCACGACTTCAACTGAGGAGCC